CCCATGCATGGCTGTAATGGCTTATCCTAGCTGAAGTGTGGGCTTTGAGTAGCATCATGCGTGGAGTGAGTGAGTGAGTGAGTATGGTTTTACGCCGCTGTTAGCAATATTCCAGCAATATCACGGCGGGGAAAACCAGAAATCGGTTTCACCAATGTGAGGATAGAACCCGGGTCTTTGGTGTCACGATCTAACACTTCAACAACTTGGCTATAACCACCGCCCCTTAGGTATGTAGGTCGGCTCGTATGTTGGTATTTAGGTGAGTATTTAAGTAGATAGGTTTTTACATAGGTTGGTAGTTAGGTGGGGCCACCAGAAATGGGCTTCACACATTGTACCCACGTGGGGATTCGAACCAGTGTGAGGAGCGAATGCTTTAACCATTAGACTACCCCACCACCCCGCCATGCGTGGAACGGAACCATTGTCTTGGAAAATACGGATCTCTGTTACTGCAACCACACGGTGCGATTTGATTATGGTGATAAGGCGAATTTTGAATGGCATGAAGTGCGAGTTGTACGTAACACTAACACCCAACATGCACGATAAAAAATATTAAAAATTTCTTTATCCTTGTGATAAATGTAGTTTAAGCCTAAAATATATATCTCCCTCTCTGTCTGTATATATGTATGTGCGTGCGTGTATGCATGCAGGTATCCACAAAATAAGGATCCAACACGAATTTCTCTCCTACATGTTTAACGGTATCTTAGGGAGATAACACGTACCTCCTGTCTGGTAATAAGACGTTTACTCTCTCCGATGATAAAGTTACAACTTGTAGGAGGGAAATTGTGTCATTATTTGTGTCAGTTGTGTTATTATTTTGTATATATGTGCCACTGTTCATTGCTAAACTGGGCCTCTACATACTGTAGTTGTCTAGACTTGCCTAATACGAGGATAGATAGAATAACTGATAGATTAGCCTTGCTTAAGGCTGTACTGAATGTAGACTAAGGCTTAGTCTCTGAATATATATAATTTTGATAGTAACAAACAAGCCCATTTATATTGAAAAGGAGCCCTAGGGAGACCAGAGATTCAGAACCTGAGGAAATCTAGACTTGCTTTATTTAGGGCTTTAGCACTGCAGAGAGGGCTTGGCAGTAGGGAAATGAATGTGGTTCAGGGACTGTGAGACAGACTATACTGAATGCTAAGCCCATGGATGTAGTAATTCTATCCTCTAAAGAGGCAAGTCTAGAAAAGCGGACAGACGCCAGTCTGTGAGAGGGACAATGTGTTCCTTTTATTTATATATTTTAGAGATTGTCATTTAAACTATTAATTATTACCTTGGCGCCTTGTGCAAGTATATTAATACCTTCAAATTCAGTCCAGCCTTGTAGCAAGGCTAGACCACTGCTTTTTTGACACCAACGAAGAGTGAATGAGTGAGTGTGTTTAGTTTTATGCCGCACTCAGCAATATACCAACGAAGAATATCAACACAAGTTTGATAGTGCTTGAATGAATTTTTAAGATGTTATTAAGGAACAATTCAAAAGAGTACAAGAAACAAGAAACAGTGCTCTGATTGACCAAGCTCTCGTGAACACACGTAAAAGTAGTTAAGCACGTGATCGCTCAATCACTATGAAGTACCCTATGTGCACGCCGCTTGTAGTATAGTGACGGTACAAACACTGTGAGGAGTTTAGTCGTCCGTTAAACCGATAATAGACGAAAAGTAGGTTGATGATGTTGGTGGGCCCTCGAACCATACGTTTCCGTCATTGCGAGTGTATTATGTTTATTACCTAATAAGAATATTAGAACTATTGTAAACAGTTTCAAAATAGGTCCATAAACGTTTATTTCTCGTTCGCATTTACGTGTAAAATTAAATAGAAAAAATCCTGTGGGTAAACGTCGGGTAACCACCTGTCTTTTTAATTTCTCGAACTGAAACTGAGATGCACGGGGGGGTGATAGAATTTGGAAATGATGTAAAGTGTAATTGGGGTGAAATATATTACCTTGGGTCCATAAAACAGACAAACAATTTGTTTTTAAAATATTGAGGGTCGTCATCTTGCAGAATATTAGCCAAATGTTATAGCAATCATTTTCTATTGTCAGTTTTTTACGTGAAAATAGAATCGTTGAAATTAATGTCCCCAAATGTTTGTATCTTTAAATGCAATTTCGGCATATTTTTAAGTCATGACCAATCAGAGGTTTCAAATCACACTTACCAACCCCTGATAGAAACATGCAGCATCGACCAGAAGGTGATATAGAAAGGTATCTATTCACTGAATGTAACTAAAATTGCAAGTTATAGTTATCCTGATTTTCAAAGCATATTTGACAATCCACTGTGGGCAGAAAACATGAAAAGATTAACAGCGTGAAATATGGCAAGTTCTAAGTATCGCCATCAACGTTCAGTATGATAAAGGTGGACAGGTGGGCTGCTTGAGGCATGTAATCGTATCCCAACTACGCAGATAGGTGCTGACGAAGTTCATGATGTCGATCACTGGATTGTATGGTCGACACGCGATTATTTACGGACCGCTTTTTACAGCGGGAAAATTGCCGAGGGCGGCGTTAAACGGCAAACAAACTCCTATGCTTGTACAAATGCATGCATTAAACGTGATATTGTAAACATTGTATTATGATCATTTGAATTTTGTTTTCCAAGTGACACACGCCAATCAGAAGCGCATCTCACAATCACTGATACACTCACGCCAGATACACATTAAACACCAGTGACACAAATCTATGGCGGAAGGCTACGAGTTCATCTGAAACTTGCGTATGTTAAATTCACGATGTCGGCGCTATCTAATTGGGATCTGACCAGAATGTAGGGATGTCAAATGAACGTCAGAGATACAGATCACTTATCAGCGTCTAGACGGAGGCAGGACAGAAACGCTCGACAGTGAGGAGATTGTGTGGCATATCATCTCATCCTTCTTCGATGTGTCCAAGCTAAAGATTGAAACCGCTCATGCGAATATATATCTACATTTATAACGAACACGCTTATAACGAACTGACGGATATAACGAACTGGCGGATATAACGAACTGAGGGATATAACGAACTGAGGGATATAACGAACTGACGGATATAACGAACTGACGGATATAACGAACTGACGGATATAACGGAACTGACGGATATAACGAACTGACGGATATAACGGACTGACGGATATAACGAACTGACGGATATAACGAACTGATGGATATAACGAACTGACGGATATAAAGGACTGACGGATATAACGAACTGACGGATATAACGAACTGATGGATATAACGAACTGACGGATATAACGAACTGACGGATATAACGGACTGACGGATATAACGGACTGACGGATATAACGAACTGACGGATATAACGGACTGTACTCTAGTCCCGGCCACTTGCAGAATAGTTTAGTCGAAATGTGTGTAACGAACTCTCGATATTACGAACTAAAAATAAGTGGTCACTTTGAGTTCGTTATAACCGTAGTACACTGGACTAGGTGGCGTCACAGGTACACGAGGGCTTTTTTGAGTGAATGAGTGAGTTAATATTGCCATCAATATTTAAGATGTTCTAATTTTCCAAAAGCAAAAAGAAAACTATAATATTTTACGATTCTGACTATATCGTTTTGGTGTCTTTCAGAATCACTGGCACTGGTGATGAGATCAGGTGTTCGCAAAAACGTGAGCGTATCCTGCCGCAACGGTGGTACCCTTATAGGCAATAGGCATCGGCAAGTCAGTTGTTCCCCTGAGATACCATGGTAACACAATTGTACAAGACGACATAGGGAATTATATCGGACTGTTTTGGTAACTGATGCTTTAAATTTGAAAATGCCCCCCACATGTCTGCCATAAAACGTTTTAAAAGCTCGGCTGGGTTCTTTAATGTTGTAACTTTGATTAACATGGGCGCCACCAAACTGCGGTTACACTTAATTACATACATTCAAACATATCCAACTAAACACCGGGGCGGTGGGGTAGCCTAGTGGTTAAAGCGTTGGCTCGTCACGCCGAAGACCCGGGTTCGATTCCCCACATGGGCACAATGTGTGAAGCCCATTTCTGGTGTCCCCCGCCGTGATATTGCTGGAATATTGCTAACAGCGGCGTAAAACTAAACTCAGTCAGTCAGTCCAACTAAACACAACGTTCAGTTTTCAAATGGAATTTACCTTGGTTCCTGTAAATATGTAAGTCAGGGTACCGATGGAAACATTTGCTCCAATGAATATAGTGAGTGAGTTTATTCTTACACCGATTTTAGCAATATTCCAGCAACCACCAAAAATGGGCTTCACGCATTGTACCCATGTGGGGAATCGAACCCGGGTCTTCGGCGCGAAGAGCGAGCGCTTTAACCTCTAGGCTACCCCACCGCTCCTCAAATGAATATAAGTGTTATAAGAAAGAACAGCATATGTCAGGATATGAAGTGAAGAATTAATTCTATTCGCATTTATATTTTCTTGTACAATATATATGTAACTATCTTGCGTTTGTGTGTCACAATAGGTGATGTCTCGCAATGGTGACATTTAAGAAAAACATATTTATTGAAGAAATATTTCAACTCGACCAATAATGTCACAAGGCACCTACCTCGTCTGTTAATATTGATCAATCAATAAAGTCTTTGAAAGGTATTTAGAAGTTATAAACATAAAATGTGAAAATGTATGGATGACAACTTCTGTATTATCAGGAAAATGGCGATTAGGAACATATTTTCAATTCATCAGGTGAAACTTGATTTTTCAACCAATCAGTGTTGTACACTCATGGATCATGGTTGTGTGGTACAACTGAAGAGCTGCGGTTGATCCTGACTGTGTAGGTACTTAATCAACAAAAATATTTCGATTTTAAACGAATTTAGAAACATTGCAAATACAAAGGTCATCGCAAGTGCAGCTGTCACAGCCGGTCACTGATCCTGCCGCACTATGCCACAGCTGTTTAAACATCAAACACAAGCCTCACTTTCGTTTCACATTGTTTATTACATTTGACTTAAAAAATATTACACATGATTTAAATTGTGCGAGGTTGTAATATTCGTTGCACATCTCGCGAGATCTAGTGCTACCTGGTCACCGTTATATACATATCCAGTTGTTCCACAGGAAGTTACAATGTACGCATGCGCATTGAAAACTATTTCGCTGAAAAGGCAACGTGCTTATCAATATCGTTATATTTCTTTCTCTCTAACTAAAACTGCTTTGCATAACGTGTTGTGCGAGTGGCATTAAATTATAACTCTAAGATCTAAAATCGATTGAATCGATTAACAATATGAACAAATAAATAAAACCATGTAGTTTAAAAAAACATAAGCATGACAAACTTGACATTTATACTTATAAAAATGATACCGAAATGTTAAGATAGTTTTGACTCCAGGTAAAAAGCATATAAACAAACACTATTACAGACGCACATTAGATCCAGGTGCGGTTTGATATTGGTTTCTGGCACTGTGGTGCCACCAATATTGGTTCTATGTACAATACGTGTCACTGTAACAGTTCAGACACATTCAAATTGACACTGTTCGTTGTCACATATCTGCCGAAGACGTCATCAGTCCGTGAATGGCATCCTCACGACGTCTTCGTGCACGGCGTCATATGCAAATATCACTGGTTGTAATGGTAGTGAAAGAACACTTTGTGAGGAAGAACGCTACGACTCTCCGTGACGTCGACTAACGTTAACGTCTCCGCAGTATTGTCGTATTTTCTGTTAATCAATGACGTCCACCGACGTTCATGATGTCGCTTTAATCTTTGTTAAGGAAGATTCCTTGTACTTACTGACACTCGGTGTGACGTCGACAAACCATACGGTGTTTTACTGACGTCGACCGACGTTGATAACGCCACTTTATTGTTTAATGATTAGCACCATTCAGTTAAAGGAACGCCATCACGAAGTTGAGCTTGGTATGGTATTCCAACATTGTTTACGTCAGACGTCACATATCGTTACGTCACGTGACGCTTTACACCTTCTTTGGCGTTTCATAACGGCCTGTCTGAGGCGGCCATGTTGGAGATGACGGAGGCTTGTTTATTGGGTGAGATGCTTTCAACAATGAGGGACAAACAATCGAGACTGGACACGCCCCCGCTGGATTGAACTTGATCATAGTCTGAAAGAAAAACACATTGGTCAGTCCAAAATAATCATATCCAAATTAATCCGACATAGATTACGAAATATGAATTTAAAAAATATCAAAATATACTAGCTATTGATTAGAATTGTATATCAGTGTACCAAACACCAATATCTAACATCAGTGTAAGGCTTAGTCTCTGAATGAATATAATTCTATGTAATATATATAATTCTGATAGTAACAAATATACCCATTTAAACTGAAAAGGAGCCCCAGTCAGATAGGAAATTAAGAACCTGATGGAATCTAGACCTACATCATTTAGAGCTTTAGCATTACAGAGAGGGCTAGGCAGTAGACTATGTAAAAATAATGTGGCTCCCAGGGACTATGGGACAGACTATGTAAAACATGGGGATCAATTCTTTCAAACCCCTCTCCGAAGATATTTACACTAACTAATTACATCACAAGAATTATTAGAAACAGGGATGGTCTATAATACAAAAGGACGTTTTGAAAAGATATATTAACAATAATTTCATCGTGACTTCAGCTTAACTGTGGCAGTGTAAATTAACTATAAATCAAGTTATACCTCAGACGTCACGCAACGACAGCCATTATTCTTTCTCAAATATATAAGTATCTCTATGGTGAGTCGAGATTGCGAAGTTCGCAACAACGATGTTCAACTGAATGTAAAATTTATTTCCCAATACTCACAATCGTCTCAGGATATGGAAAGACAAAAACCTAACGTGTTTACCAAACAAACGTTTGAACATTTTCATTTGTTCCCAGAGGACGTACATATAAGAAAAGTCTTGGCGTATTCTGTAAGGAGTCGGGGTTTATTTACTCACGAGGGGAGCACGTGGTATTCTATTTGTAAAGACAACCATTCAGTCAAAGCCAAGTGATTTTCAAGACACGGTAATTTCACACTACGGGTTATAATGAGAATCATACATGTCTTCACACCAGTCGTTGTCCGTATGAGTGAAATCTGCATTTTCTAACATTTGGTCTAATGGTGTGCATGAATGAAGCTGAGTTAGTTACTCAGGGAGTCATATAAGATATTACCGCAGTGTCGTCGCAATACACAATGTGTTGTCGCGTGTAGCTGCGGTTTGCTATAAGCCTCCAAAGCAGGTTAGGGGTTTCAAGTTTGAATTTTCGCATCGGAGATCTCGGAATAATTCTGAACACAGTCCCGTTTATCTACAATCCCCAAGGAGGGTGTTTATGCATAACTGCGGTTCCATAACACACCAAATATTTCAGCTTTTCCTACCAATTGCTGCGGTGAATGCATCCGAAGTTCATCCATCCATCCACCCACCCGCCAATCCATCCCCATCCACCCACCCCAAATATGCTGATGGGCAAAATGAATGACTTTGTATTACATACATACATACATGGATGCATGCATGCATACATACATACATATGCATGATGCATGCATGCACAGAACACAGACACACACAGACAGACATACATACACACACACACATACATACATACACACACACACACACACAGAGACATATATACATACATACATACATACACACACACAGACATACATACATACATACATACATACATACATACATACATACATACATACATACATACATACATACATACATACATACATACATACATACATACATACATACGTTATGTCCTCTCATACCATATACAATACATTTCGCAGATCGTACATATATCATTTGACATTCATAACGTTTTACCAAATGATTATGTCAGTACCAACAACGATATATATGTGTGTATCTAGCATCAATGTCAACACATTACCTACCGCAGACATAATTAAAGAGGCCATCACACCACAAAGATTACTGTATACACAAATATGTATCTGTAAGTATATTTAGTCCAACAGCTACTGATACAGGGGTGGGGACCGGAATGATGAAGACCGCTTAGATGAAGCAACCTGGCCACAGACCGCTTGAACATAGTGATAAAAAGTCTACCATTAGTAAGTCTCTGGCCATGCAGTAACAAACAAGCATGAACATAGTCTTGTTTGCTTTATTTAGGGGCTTTAGCACTGCAGAGTGTAGAATAATGTGGTTCCTGTGAGACAGACTGTGTGTTTGTGCACATATATATGCAGGTGAGGTGTGAAGAATGTGGGTTTGAAATTAAAATGTTATATATGCTTATCAAATTATAATACACAATATAAAAGTATCTAGATCATTAATGCTGTTGCTACCAATGGGTCTGAGGTTTTGTTGGTGAATTATCCAGAGAACCTGTCCTACGTGTATACCAATGTGAAACAGTTTTTGAAGATGAAAATAATTATCAAATCGCATTACACTTTTCCGGGGGGAAATGTGCATGTGTATATCAGTACATACCGACCTAACATACAGACACTGATAAACACATTTGAAATGGCGTTTGAGCAGTAATCCTTTGTCAGAAGATTAGGTCAGAATCAATGTACAATCCAGGGTGCCGTTGTACAAAGCGATCTTAGCGCAAACGTGACCGTAACTCCCATACCTTGACACAGACTTAAGGTAGTCTTAGCGCTGAGGTTGTTTTGTACAACGACACCCTGGAGAGGAGTGAAAATGAGGCACTCTGCACGACCCATACTCTTTAACAAGGATTCCAGGAATGAAACTGCGTCCGTCCTGGGACCCACCCACCCAGGATGCTTCCTACAGTTACAGCCCAGTCTCTCCATCCACCATTGAAGCTGTACTCACAGGAAGAGTGGGGTGTCATGTTTGTATTTGTCACATTGGGCAATTAGGTTAGTTCCGGAAGCTGCAGGTACAGTATGATCTATTTACAAATGTGATTTCTATCTCACCAAGATCTACGTGAAATTATACCATGTAAGTTGCACCTTCGTTCAGAATGTACAATGTTGTGACACATGGATATCGATCCTTAATGCCAGACGTACCATCAGTTATATCTATCAAACTATCATTTGTTTAAAAGTCTCCAACCTGTTCCGAAAAGTATTTATTCATAAGAAACTGTCCCAAGATTTTAGTAAAGCATAAATCGTTTTATTGATATGCAGAATGTTAAAAATATCATGTGTTTGTTATCCAAAACAGAGTTTAGCTGCTCTCCCAGTGAAATCATTTCGACTACTCGAAGTCCTGAATCACTTGTTCGACTATCTGAAATTCGAGACATTGTTTCAATATCACACAATAATTTCATTTTTTTAACCCATGACGACTTAACAGACAGATGGAATGAAAACGGTTACTAACAAGGACAGTGTGGTGGTGGAAAGGGTAGCCCTGGTCTGGGTTTGAATCCCCAAACGAATTTAAACCGCAAAACCAATACACTTAAACGTGTAATCTGGATAAATTATTAAAAAGATCCAAAGATAAACTGACTTCTAAAACAAAACCATTCTCACTACTTGTACGCACTCTAACGCCCCCTACATTTTCACTCATCCTCCCCCACACACTTAAACCAGCCTCACAAAATCCGTAAAATGTACCAGAAGCCTTGCTCTGGTAACCACAACCAAATAGGCCTCCCTAATCGTGTAGAACGAAAACTCCTCACAGGTACACATGTAGCCAAACCGGTGCCTCCCCCGTTCGCCCTATACTAGTAAGGTGTAAAGTAACCGTGTTTGAAGTTTTCTTCGCAGTATCAAGATAAAGAGATTTACGAGCTAACTATAAACGATAATTATGTAGTTGGTCTGCAGCGTATCTCAAACTGAAGATAGTGGGGATTTACTCTGCATTAAGCTTATTTATAGAAGCATGTTACAGTTTGTGGTGTGTATGCTTGTAGACCAGACCTACAGTGTTTCTACGTTTATGTCGTTAGCTTTTAATTGACAATAAACTAGTAACAACAGGTAGAGCAAATGCGGTTATCGTTATTTAAAGCATAAATACTAATTATAAAAATTTCAAGCAGATATGTAGATTAGAAATATATTATGCATGTTTCAATAATATCGAAGGCGGTTGGGTAGTGGTTAAAGCGTTCGCTCGTCACGCCGAAGATCCGGGTTCGATTCCATTAGGGTACAATGTGTGAAGCCCATTTCTGGTGTCCCCTGCCGTGATATTGCTGGAATATTGCCAAAAGCGGCGTAAAGCAATCAAATCTGGACCAGACAATCCAGTGATCAAAGCATATTAAGCATCAATCTATGCAGCTATGATTCGATGACATATGTCAACCAAGTTAGCGAGCCTGGCCATCCGATCCCGTTAGTCGGGTCATACTACAAGCATGGGTAACTGAAGACCATTTCTAACTCGGATCTTCACGGGTTCCCTGAATCAGTATTTTAATCACTAAATGATGGTGATTTGTGGACACACTGATGTTGCTTAAAATTCGCTGATCGGTTTTCTATTTTCACGACAATCGCTTAACTGAGGAATTCTGTCATCTAATAGCTGTACAGGAAAACAGCCAGTGTTCATTCAACAGTTTGTAGTTTTGCAACTTACAACATTGATGACAGGTTTATTTTAAGCGCACCAACAATCAAACACGCCATCGCAACATAGCTCCGTTAGCTCGAGAAGCTCGTGCAGCACGTGCAGTGTTGTGTCTGAACGAGCCACTAGCCTCGTTCTCTCTTCACGCGGAGTTGGGAATCTATTTCTACTTTAATACAGTTTGTTTATCATCAGCACGTCTATAACTTGAAATAAGCCGTGCTGTTTGTACACATGCGAGCTTTAAGCCATCACGCCATAACATAGATGTTTGTGTACTTTATTTTTCTTCACATTAAAGGGAAGTTACGTTATTTTTACGTGAAATTATCCATGGCAACGTTTGGAGTAAAATAAACAATCTATCGCAAGAAGCGGTGTGGTTTTTGTAGCAGGGGGATGGGACGTCGGTGCGAGGAGCTCTTACTGGCTAATAAAGCAGGGGAGTCGGGTGCGGAATGGAGATGCGATGTTGTGATAACTCGGGGCGCTGTGAACATAGCGATGCCACTATTTGTATTAGTATTTGTACTCAAAATCAATAAATACCGCCAGTCAATATTCGAGATGGGTTGTTGCTGATATGTATTTTCTCAGAAAATTTGACACGCGTTTCACGTGCGCGTTTTGAAAGGTCAAAAGGTTGAACTTGGAAACTTAAGGCACAAAAACAATAGAATGTTCTTCTTGGAGAAAGTTGAAAGGGTTTTAAATTTGCCTATTGTCACTTTACAGGTTTGCTAGCATTTGAATTATAACGGTGACATCTGCATAATCCTCGCTCAGTGACTCTTATATGAACCACATTTACAAAATGCATCATCTGAGGCACCGTTCATAATTTATGGCTGTGGGGGTGGGGGTGGTGATGATTTAAATGGGGGTCACCCATTTTGTTCTGGGGAGGTAGGGGTCATCAATTTTGTGCACATATGTTGGGGGAGGCGTCATTGATTTTGTACATGACACACAATGGGGGTGGGAGAGGGTGGGGTCAGTTACTTTGTACATACATTTTAGGGGGTCATTCACATCGTCACGTAGTACATGCAACTCCATAAAAATCATCATCACCCTCACCACCCTTCCCTTCCCATGCCATAAATTTTGAACGGTCCCTAAGCAATATCGAGAATAAAATCGACATAACATATCCTTTCGATTAAAGGATTTCAAAATTGTTCAAACATTTACACTGTACAAAGCTGTCCAAACGCAACTGGTATCGCACTATAACACAGATGTTAGGCGGTATGCCAAAACCGTTTCGAGCCCTCCCGGCGATAAAAGTGAATTGTCACGTGACGTCAGTACTGATTCCAGCCAATGACTAAAGCGAACGTAATTTGATTTGTTGACACAGCGTATGGACAACACACGCATGACACGGGCGAGAAAAGATTTACTAGCATGTTGTGTTTCTACCCAGCCTCCCATACAAAACCTGGTAAATACATTTACCACATATAATGTTATTTCGTCATGCCTTGTCTGTTTGTAAGACAATTGGAGGCGAATGGCGTGTGTGTTATGAAAGTCAAGATGGTCTGAGACAGGGAATGGGATATGGGCCGAGAGAAGATGTCTGCAAGTGATTTAGGTTTGTTTTGTATCACTTTGTGTCTGTTAAGACTTCCTGTTGACAAAGACCACCCTCTAACATACAGCGGATTATCTCGGGCATTGGTCAAGGGTCACCTGGCTGTGATATTCCTTCCGGATGGAACTGGTTCCCGGTAATCTATGCCGGGCCTGACCAAAGTGAGTGAGTGTAGTTTTACGCCGTTTTTAGCAATATTTCAGCAAAATCGTGACGGTCTATACCAGAAATGGGCTTCACACATTGTACCCATGTGAGGAATCGAACCCGGTTCTTCGGCGTCCGAAGACCAGAATGAATGGGTGGTCAGGATCGGTGACAGGGGCATCGTTAATCGACCACATGCTTGATATTGCTCATAACATCAACCCTGGTACAGATTCGCTTATTGCAAGCGGTCGTCAAAAGTGCTGACATAAACTCACAAAGTTTAATATTCCAGATTTTTCAGGAATATTTAACGAATCTAATTCTGTCGATGACAATCTCTTCAACATCCGATGACACACAATCACCAAGTCACACCAAGTTCGACCACCCGATACCCACTTTAGCCGACTCTTAGCGTGAGGTAACGGGGACCCAGAATCTCAGCAGGGTCACACATTCTTACAACACTGTTCCCTTTATACTAGAACAGTACGAACGAAATAACAAGAACATCTTTTTGATACATCGAGAAAAGCAACATGACAGCGATCATGAAAAAGGTATATGCGCGAACCAAAAAATATCACGAACATTTCGTCAAAAGGGACGGGAGGTGTTGAAAAACAAGATCTTTTTAAGAAGCAAAAAAAATGTAATTGCTTCAAGACGTACAGATGAAGACACCCACAATACAAGATGGATATAACGATTTGTGAATTCCCCACACACGTATAAGCCCCAGTCGCTAGGTTACCAGGGAATATGAAATTTCGCTGTACTTAACTACATCCCCAAACCTCACCAATGGGACTAATTTAAAATCAGTATCTATGGCATATTGTCATGTTATGATAATTCCAGAACCGACCCCCCAACGTCGTCTACACAATCACCTCCACCAGCACTGCAACTTCACCCCCACCCGTCTCCAGCACCCCGGGCAACCAGTCATATACTCAGTATACATAGTTCCGCCTCAGTTCCAGTTAGGCGACGCGACGCATGAATTCTCTCCTGTGTAAGGACCGTACCAGATTCGGAACGACCAACACAAAATAATTGCATGTTAGCCAAGTGGAAAAGTACGACTCGAACCCCCATAGGACCTGGGGTTTTGTAGATTGTGCCATCAAATTGATGCAAGATAATCTACATACCACCCTGGATTGTATTAAACAGCTTAATGGGCTTCCCACGCACGTGTCGTCGTACGGGGAAACAATAAACGTTGGTGTCTGCTGTTGTCGTTGTAACTCAACCCCTTGTCTGGGCGCATTGTCCGTCAGCCGTACAGCGGGTTAAAGACATTGTCTACCCAGCATGGTTCAACACGGGATCTCCGTGAACAAATTAACGGTTTTAGTGACGTCCCAAGTCGACTGAAAAATTACTGTTTTCTGTATTAGAATGAAAATGTTTTTACTGTCTAGACACGGAAGGTCGTGTGAATATATGTCACATGTGGAAATTTTGCATGGTATTTTTGTATTTTTTAGAGAGTGTGGGGTAGGTAAGTGGTCAGAGCGTTCGCTAGTCACGCCAAAGGACCGGGTTCGATTCCCCACATGGGCTCAATTAGACAACGCTTTGCCCCTGAATATATATAATAGTGATAGTAACAAATAAACCCATTTATATTGAAAAGGACCCCAGTAAGTTGGGAGATTCAGCCTTAACCTGAGGGAATCTAGACTTGCTTCATTTACAGCTTTAGCATTGCAGGGAGGGCTGGGTGGAAGGGGAAATAATGTGGTTCAGGGACTGTGAGATAGACTAGGGCTCAATGTGTCGAGCCCATTTCTGGTGTCACAGTCATATCGCTGGAATATTGCTAAAAGCGTTGTAAAACCTTAACATAAAATAGAGAACGGTCACTTACTGTTGCCATGGTTATAACTGCCGCCCATGTCCCCGCCTCCGCCACCGCCACCGTTGTTGGGGATGTGGTGTAGTTTGTCGTAGTACTGCGGACTGTGAACGGTCTAAAATAAGGGACGAAATATTTTAAGGATATGTTATATAGGGGATGTGCATCCTGAAATAAGGAAAAATGTGAAGTTTAAGTTTTGGGACACATTGTTTGTTTGTTGTTTAACGCAATTTTCCATCAATAAAATAATCTTCCGAAATAATCAACAAAAGAAAGTGTACACTTGAAAACTGGATTTTACCTTAAGACGTCAAGTGCACGTCACCTGTTGCTAGATATTCATTGATATCATGCAATATCGCCTATGATATCCGTATCAAATACATCATCACTTAATGACAATTTCTTGGTTGTTTACGGTTTAGCAACAGTTAAACACGGGTGTTTGATTTCTTTTGACCCACAATTTAGATAAATACACAGACTGGTTGACATTTAGATTAACTGCTAGTCTCTGAAAAAACATATTATACAGAAAAAAAACAATTTCCAAATTAAAATAAAATCCAATATGTAGGAGCCCAGAGACATTTTCAGAAACTGGGGTAATCTAGACTTGCCACACAATCTTGACTTGCAGGGGCTGCATTGGTTACAGTATATTTGTTTCTGTATAACAGACTAATTGACATTGTACGAGGTTATTCAGTGTTCTGTTAGATTCACATTGCACGGAGATTCAGTGTAACATGAGATACAGGATTCAGTGTTGTGTTGAATTCAGCGCTGTATGCCGCGTTCATCACCACAATCGTTATCAAGAAGACACTAGAAACAATTTAAGAAATTCAAGTCAACTGTGACCCACATAACTATACTAACACCCTACCATTCAAGACTATCAGATCAAAGGCCAGCATATCTCACAAGAGCATGAGGGTTATAAATGACCTCTCAGCAGATACTACTTCCCACACCGCTGACCAGTACGTGGTAATCTGACCACTGAATGTGGTTAATAAGATTCCATGTTGTGGTCAGCTCAACATCACTATGGACAACAAGATCAAGTTAGCCGTTGTCCGAACTTTCAACCGGTGACCCATTGCCCAACGCAGCATGTTTTGTTCTTGAGCCCAGCTAATCTGGCACCATGCTGACTCTGTGATTAAGTCCATTATTTATTTACCTTCCTATAACCCGAATTGTCTGATTGTTTTGTTGTTTCCTTTTTGCAGTTAACAATAGATCTTTATACATACAACCTGCTTAACCATTGCAAGAAATGACGTGGTATAATTCATGTGGATGAAGAGCGTGGCTTGGTGTACAACCGACCGACCTACTTCAATAGGTCACAATCAACCGAATGTTAATGTTTACTTGAACTGGCCATGCACACTTAACATCAAACACGGCATCAATACAGGAGACTTGGAAATTTGTTTCATTCACAGGTATGCAAAATCGAAACCGATGCCAACTAGAAATTCTCTGGAAGACATTCTTCAAGGACAGAGTACTGGTAACGGTGGCCAGAAAGTGGCCAGATGGCAATTACATCTTTTGTTTTTGGTGACCTTTCGTGCAAGGTTACTCTGCTTTTCTAACTTCATAGACAGTCACGTGTATGGTTTGATAATAACCATTTTGGGGATAGAATTGGTCTATTGGTTATTCTGGTCCTAAGAGTGAGTGAGTATTTTTTTTACGTCGTTTTTAGCAATATTCCAGCAATATCTGGGTGAGGGACACCAGAAATGGGCTTCACACATTGTCAATTCAGGTAAAGGTCGAACCCAGTTAGCGTCATGCTAAAATATTGCATGGTACATATTGGATATGGTACTTATTGTTGCCCTGCCCTCTCAGCATTTAGGGGATAAAACACAGAATGATCAGCTCGGAGGCGGTATACTCTGCCTCAGGTAGATAGCCATTTCTGGTGTCCCCCGCAGTGATATTGCTGGAATATTGCTAAACTTGGCGTAAAACTAAACTTAGTCACTCACTCACTCACTGGATACCCATATTAAACTACGGCATGGTACCTCTGTGTGCCAACTCATAAAACTGGTAATAGCCCGAACCAAGCACACAGACACACACACGCATATGCACACACGCTGGTGCAAGCACTTTGTTATATAAGTGCGGTAATCTTGAACGCGTCTCTATACCCCGCTGCACCTCTCCTGATATCACTGATACCAACGTTGCCATGTATTCGTAATAACTGAATCTGAGAGTCACCGTGCCCTAAAGACCCCAACCCGTCAACAAATATTACTGAAATTATATTCCTAACGGTAGTTGAAACCCAGGCTGATATGTTACCCAACATGAGACCATTACAAATAACGACGCACTTAATTTAATTTAAGCAACATAATTTAGCTGAATAATCCATAAATCAGCAAATTGAATTTTTAATAGATAAAACTAGAATTTCCATGTTTTAAACACAGACAAAAACAAACCAGTCCCACTGAATACAGTACGGGAATGGGTTTCAGTGTTGTACGTAACCCATTATGCGCATGAAGTTTGTAATCAGAGTCAACAGCTGCAATCTTTCACAACTTGTTTATCAATCATGCTTAGGATGTTTTACTTTATTCTGCTATTTGTTTTGACTTTATCATCTCTGTATTTTTTTCGTCTTGAAGAATGTAAAAATAATTACAAGAAAAAATTCCTGTAATACTCATTGTGCTTGGAACGTTTAACAGACGCCTGTCGCCGCAATTGTGATGTGAAAATTAACCCGATTACTCAGTGTCACGGGGCCAAATAATAGCTTTTTTTGTTTTTTATCTAAGATCAATATTGTCTTGATAAATATGGCATGTTTTAAATTATCCAAATGATATGCGTTATGTTTTCTGAAAGTCAAAATATTGGACAAAACGAAAAAAACGAAATAACTTGCGTTTGTGATATTGGCTTACATTTTTCAATCATTTGAGGTGCTCTCAAAATTGTTTAGCTAAAAGAACATTATGATAATGATGATGATGTTAAATCGGTATTACCTTTAGTAGCAGTAGTTGTACTAGTAGTACTTGAATTATTACTATTATTATTATCATTATTACAAATTGTAGATTTAACACACCAAACGAAACTTTTTGTTGGTTCATTGTCAACACCACTGTATTATGACTGTATATTAACCTGATCTACATATCTGCACATTCCAAACTTCTCCTATAGTAAAAATAAGTATGTATATATGTATATAAAATATTCATGGACATAAATGTTCCGTCAAGTTTTATGCTAAATATTGAAACCCGCTTTAAGACACAAAAACAACATAATCTCTCCTTGAAGTTTCCGGATCAGGCTGTCAGTTATCAAAAAGCCGCATCTGAGATACATGATATTTCAATCTTCAGAGAGAAATTATGAATATGTTATCAAATATTGCATCAGCATTACTTGTTGATAAGTTTTGAAAGACGAGAAAAAGTTAAAATAGACATCCACGGCAAGAGCTTAAAAGAAAATTCATATCATTTCCCGTTTTAAGGGAAATAGGATGATTTTCTGTATCAAGCGTTAGTCAAGCATAAATGCTACTTTCATCAAGAGTTAGTCAAGCATAAATGCTAGTTTCATCAAGAGTTAGTCAAGCATAAATGCTATTTTCATCAAACGTTAGTCAAGCATAAATGCTATTTTCATCAAGCGTTAGTCAAGCATAAATGCTATTTTCATCAAGCGTTAGTCAAGCATTTTCATTTTCATCAAGCGTTAGTCAAGCATAAATGCTATTTTCATCAAGCGTTAGTCAAGCATAAATGCTATTTTCATCAAGAGTTAGTCAAGCATAAATGCTATTTTCATCAAGCGTTAGTCAAGCATAAATGCTATTTTCATCAAGCGTTAGTCAAGCATAAATGCTATTTTCATCAAGCGTTAGTCAAGCATAAATGCTATTTGCATCAAGCGTTAGTCAAGCATAAATGCTCTTTTCAAAGCAGCGTAGAAATAATCTACATACGTTATAGAGAAGAAGGGGTGAAAAACATTAATATAATTTTTGACGATAGGGCTGGATACCCCAACCAACCATAACAGTTTGGGCTCACTTGGAGTAAATGTTGCCGGAGAAATGGATCATCACAAACAAGTACAGCCCACATATTACAACGATCGACCGTATCTGTGAAGGTGTGGTTGTGTGTTTGTCCATTCATGCATACCGCAAGCAACCCTTTTGTCACATAACCATCAACTGTTCTTTTCGCGAACACCTGGTGTCATTATTATTTGAAGAAATGCATACAATGTAAAACTTCAGTGCAAAAGAACACCCTTAAGTGTAAAGGGAATTATAGTTTTGAAAATTTATGAATGGACCAAAGAATATTATTTGATGACACCAGGTGTTCACGACATGGGTACGCATGTCCTGCCCTACCGGTTGCACCCATAATTCATACAAATTCCTAAAATAATTATGGAATAAACTGCAGGACGAAAGACAGAACACGCCCACGCGTGATGGTGGCTGGCAACGCAACAAACATGAAAAGACATTACCATGGTGATGTACTCAGCTTCCATGATAGCCTGTCTCTTTAGAGTTTTGGTGTTTGGAAGATATTTGAAACGGGTATCACGATGGTCTTTTGTACCTTGCGTTTATTGTGTTTCGGCCACTATTTTCAGCATTTTTATATTTTGAAAATGTCTCTATATTTTGTGGCAAATTCAATTGCAAGTGTATACTTTCTTTTGTCCGGAAATTTAGCTCGTGTCGTGCAGTTGCCCTTAGCATATATCTGTAATAATTATGGAAATAGTTTTGCCGCTTATGTCAACTAGAAGCATACTGAATGCCAATTTTGTAGATCGCTTATTGTGTCGTAGCAGTTTTGAAGAAGAGGAATAATTTTCAAAGTACATCTGTCCCCGGCTTAGGAGGGTCATGGCAAACACACTGACAGAATCTGTAGAAACTAATGATAATTTAGCATGTGTCAGTGCATTATCCGTAAGGAACATCTCATTTCAATATGGTCGAGAAATATTTTGAGGAAGTGTTTGAAACGTTTTGTTTTCTAAGTGTAACTGACAATATCTAGCCCGTATTCGTTTCCC